CAAATATCCTAAGATAATCTCATGTCATAACACTCTGTTCTATTCATTTTGCATATGCCAATGGTTGTATTTAAGTGTATGCGAGAGTATGTAAATGTATTTGGGCTGCAAATAGTGAACAAAACTTGTTTCCTTGGGTTTGTGGAGATAATTTGAGAATAGAGAGAAATATAGTTGGAGCGAAAACCGTTTTACTCCTAAACGGAAAAGCAACTACACTATCAAGAAAGCGATACATCTACGTTATATAGAGTATTAATGGCGACATGGAACAACTTGTCACCTGTAACAACTTCATATAAAATGGGTGATGATAAACATAAGAACTTACGAGTTCTATCTAATTTAAGAATCATGTTAATGTATTTCAATGTGATTAGTTGATTTGCCAAAACGATGTACTCCTACGGTAATAATATTAAAACGATCGATTAAAATGATTATGGTGTTCCGTTTTGGAGAGTATGAGGTATCGTGTACGTCCTACAAAATTGATTGCATATTTGTAAAGTGCATATATTGGGAAAATGCACATCAGACCCTTATGTCATTGTCATTATAATTAATACCTTCAATTAATGTAATGCATGAGTATGGGACCTAAATTTCATTTAGGCAAGACTTAGGATATTTCCAAACCCCCCTTGATTCAAGAGACAAAGAGAATACCACGTTTACATTTCCTTATAAGACATTTGCTTACCAACGCATGTCATTTGGGTTATGCAATGCATTGACCTCTTTCCAAAGATGCATGATCGAATATTCCATGACATGGTGGAGACATTAGTGGTAGTCTTCGTAGACGATTTCTAAGTTTTTTTTGTCATAATTTTGATAATTCTTTATCTAACATTCACCAAGGAAAAAGAAAGTTTGGTTGGAGTTTTGAAGAAATGGAAAACACAATCACATGGAGAATCACCGACTTCAAAGGAATAAGGCCTTCATATTGCTCAAACGCGATCCTTAAAGAAGATGATGTGATGCTAGTTGGACAACACCAAAGAAGGCTAACGTCGAAAATATAGTAGGTGGTCAAGAAAGAGATTCGAAAGCTAATGGATACAGGAATAATCTACTTCATTTATGATACTTTGTGGGTGAGTCTAATTCACGTATTGCCAAAGAGAGGAGGAATGACGGTAGTCACCAACGAAAATAACGAGCTAACTACTACTAGGATGTTAACCGGTTTGTGAGTGTCCATCAATTACCTAAAGTTAAACGATGCCACTTACAAGAACCACTTTCCTGTACCTTTTATATATCAAATGCTTGAACAACTATCTGGTCACCTTTAATATCGTTTTTATATGGTTTTTCAAGATATTTTCGATTCCCCATTGATCCAACAAACGTAGAGAACACCACATTTACATGTCCTTATGGGACATTTGCTTACCGACACATGCGATTTGGGTTTTGCAATGCACCAGCAAGTTTCCATGGGCACGTGACCGCAATCTTCCATGACATAATGGAAAAATTTATGGAAATCTTCATGGACAATTTCTTGGTTTTTAGTCACACTTTTGATAATTGTTTAACTACCATTGATTTCATGCTTGCTAGGTACGAAAGGACTAAGTATGTCATCAATCGGGAGAAATGTCACTTTATGGTAAAAGAAGACATAGTTTTGGGACACAAAGTCTGTAACCATTCTGGTTTGAAGTATTTGACTTTATCTAAACCTATTGTGTTTACTAACCATTCTGGTTTGAAGTATTTGTTTAGCAAACATGATGCAAAACCAAGACAGATTTGATGTGTGCTTCTATCTCAAGAATTTAGCATCAAGAATCAAAGATAAGACAATCACCTTTCGAGATTAGAGAGTCCAAAAATGGAGGAGTTCAAAGAAGGCGAGATTGATAACATCTTTCTCGACAAGTACTTAATGGTGATAACCGGAGAAGAGACATGGTTTGCGGGTATTGTAAGCTTTCTAGCCAATGGTTATCTTGTTAAAGGATTGACCGAGAAACAAAGAAGAAATTTTTCGTTGATATAAAGTATAACTTTTCGGATGAGCCATATCTATTCCGAGGTTCTGCCGACAACATTATAAAAAGATGGTTCTTTGGGAAATGAAAAAAATTGTTTAAGATGATTTATATGAGATATCTTATGTTTGAAAAATGAAAAAAATTGTTTTAAATTTTACGTCGTTACAATTGAAGTCCGAGTTAAGTGGTCGGGCGATGGCCTGTGATGTAGAGGTTCTATTTTAATGATTATATTATTCCTTTTTCCCATTTTGAGAGGATGGGTGGGAGAGTTCTGATGTCAGATATTAGAAGGAAACCCTATGGGGCACCAGGGAGTAGCGATATTGGCACCAAGAGTATTTTGTTGTATGAGAGCATTGAGTTTAATTCTTATGTCAGGAAGGGTATTGGTGAGTACTTTGACTAGCGAGGGCTCGGGTATGCCTTGCTTGAGTTTGGTGAGTTGTATATCAGCAACTGTTTCTGGAATACGAGAGGAGTATATCGAGTTGTTGGTTTTCGTGGCCATCCAGCAAATCGACTATAAAAGTGAGGTATTTTGTGCTATGATGATCCTTGCAGTGGGTTAACGAATGAGGTTTCAGGGAGGAAGTGCTAATCCAGGACCGTCAGAATAACTGCATGTACAACCGAACGAGGTTCTGGGTGACTGGAGACAGTCATATTGGGAAGTTCCAAGGATTTTATCTGAGAATCGGGATGTATGGAATTGCATGGTCTTCTTGAAAGGTCATCAAGTATTGCGTAGTGCATTCCAAGAGTCAAGTGTGGTGTATCTGGTGAAACAGTCTGTGAAGTAGACTGTTGATATGTCAATTGGTGATGGTTGAACCTTAAGTGGGGGAGGAATGGGTATTCTATTAAGAGGATTAATAATCTGTTCACATTGCGGTTAGAAGATTTAGTTATGGGGATTTGTGGTATAGACATATTAGACTTTGGTTATTGGTGGGCAAGGCAAGGTGCAAAGTGAGACGATGCATATTGTACGTGTTCAGGAAAGAATGAGTCTATTCAGGGCGAGTAGCTGTGGGTCAGGGATCTTATTATGGTCAGAGACTCTTCGGGGTTGTAATGGTTGACTTCGAGGCAGTTGGTTCGTTGAGGTCCAGTTCCAATCGACAAGATTTTCCAGTTCGATGTATAAATTGTTATCTATACTCCGGGAGGAGTAGCAATTGATTTATCAATTAGTTTCAGAGTCGGTATGAGTAGTTTTGTATGGGATTGGATCAGTAAGAGGATGGAGTTTTGGAGGGTCGTTAGTGTGTTCTCTATCATTGGCAATTCCTTTATGTTTCAATTTGTGAGTGGAGTATTTCGAGGCTACGAGTTGTGCGAGAGGAAAATCAATGGTCTTAGCAAGACATTATGAAATTTTGTGATGATGTAACTATTGGATTAGCTTTTTAAGTTCATAACTATTTCTGGAATGTACTTGACCCAATTAGCATGGTCCATTTTGGGTTGCATGGCATTGCAACACTTGGATAGACTAAATGAGAGAAAGGACACTTATAGTATATTAATATATTATAAGTTCTAATATATTAATAATATTATTTAATTAGTTTTGATCAAGAATTAATTTGGTGATCAAAAGGAGACTAATTAAATATATGGGGTTGATTGTGCAAATCATCCATTCTTTTATAGTAGGCTAATGATCCATCGTTTATTGAATTGGGCTAAAACCCATATGGTGCTCCATGGATAGTCCATGGAGGTTATAAACCCATGGATCATGGAATATGGAAATCCATGTCAATTAGGGTTTACATGTTGTAAGTTGTAACCCTACTTGTGACACAACTATAAAAGGACCCCATGGCTAGCAAAATTGGCACTACTATGTGTAGAACAAGAGGGCTAGCCGATTTTGAGTGATAGTGTACTTCTCCTCAAAGTTATTCAAAGAGTTGTGGTGCTGTGTGAAACATTTGATACATCACACTTGAGGTGCTAGGCTCACAAGGTTCTCAGGGAATCTAAGCAACAAGAAGGGTATATTCTTCTACTAGCTTTTATGAAGTCTGAGAATGTTGTCATCCGAAGTTACGTTGCTGATGTGAATGTTGAGTTGCACAGTCTGATTAAAACTTGCAATTCACTCCGAATTGTTTTTGTTCGTTGACATCTAGAAGAGAAATTATAGCATATCTTCTCCATGTTAGACAGAATCCAAGGTTTTTCGGAATCTTCTATTCTAAAACAAGAGGGAGGAGAAAAGAAAGTGACAACTGAAGACATCAAGGAACCAACTAGTGGTGGTGGTGGTGATCAAGAACAAAAGCCAAAGTCAAATGAACCAAAGGATAATGTAGCTTCAAGTTCGAAAGGAAAAGAAAAACTTGTGAATGACGATGATAAGGAGGAAGAGGATTAAAATGCAAAGCTGAAGCGTAAGTCTTGCGATGTTGAGATTGATAATAATCTTTGAATCGCTAGGGAAGCGGAAGAATGAGAGAAAGCTATTTGTGAAGCAGAGGAAATCTTTAAAGCTCAACAAACTATCTTTCCTCTGTGGACACTAGAATGAATTCTAAAATAAGTTGTGGACAATCCGAAAGTTTACTAGTTAGAGCGTGTTAGATCATTCGACTTGGAGAACTTTTCGGATTTACAGCTGGATCTACCTATTACACCGAAGGCTTTTCTTTTTTGCAGTTTTGACAAGATTGTGAACATTTCTCCTACCAACAAAGGTGTTGATCAGATGCTCTTTTCGTTTTATCTAAAGAACATGATGCCACAATACAAAAGGTGGAGCTCAAAGAAGGTCACAGTTGTTAAGGTGGTCAGACCAATTAAAACTAAGAGTTTGATTAATGCTCGTTTCAAGATTTCTCGTGGGGCTATGATTTCAACGAACAAATTTAATCTCGCAGATCTACCCTGCCTCAACCATTCGATTGGATTTCTCTGTTACTTCTACTGATGAAGGATCAATAGAAATTTGAGCCTACTAATGCACATCTGAAACGAATGTTAGTCTGTTACATCCGAGAGGTTGGAAACATAGATGTGGAGATTGCCTCCATTATGAATAGGAAACCTATAGTTCTCCCCAAGGAGCCTCGGAAGGATCTTGATACAATGAAGTTGGGGAGGATACGAAAGAAGGATTGGAGTGTCGCTTTTCAAATAAGAGAAAAAACCGATGCAAAATTTCATAGATTCTTCTTCTATTTGTCAGAAAAGCAACTATATTCCTCCTCCTGTCTCGAATATATCGTAGATTTTTTGAGTCAGAATAAAGCGAACAGTGTTGCGGAAAAGAAGTGTTTTTCGTACATGATCAATCGGTACGTCCTAGTTCGCAAGACTTTATTGGGACTCATGTCGAATTTGTTTAAAGTGAAAAAGCGCCAATAACAATGAAGATCTACCTTCCGTATTGACACAAAGGGGGGGGGGGGGATTATTGGGATTATTTTGTGTTGCGTCAAAAATTGTATTGTGTTGTATTAATTGATCTTTTGTAATGGGCTGGACCTATCCACCCGATATTAACGTGCTAAGGTTAGAATATAAATAGTGCATGCATGCGCCGTGTTTCGTTAATGATCATGTAACCCTACACTTCCTTTATAGTAGAAGTTTTTTGTCGAGCTCTTCTAAGGCAGTGCTTTTCAATCATTTAGCACAACTTTGATCTCTATTCTTGGTGTTTGATTCTTCTACCTGTTTTGAATCTATCGATCTTGTTCTTTTAATCTTATCATTTATACCTGTTTTGACCAAGTGAACATATGTCGTATGGTCCAGCAATATATGTATGAACAATCTCTAATGGCCTTCTAGCTCTCCATGATCTTCCAACTGGAAAACTTTTTCGGTGTTGCTTTCCATTGATACATGCTTCACATAAATGATCTGGTTGATTCATTTTTGGCAACCCATTCACGATCTTCGCTTTTGATAACAACTTTAAACCAGAAAAACCAAGGTGACCAAACCTTAAATGCCACAACCATGAGTCATCTTTAATGACAGTCTTCAAACACCTTTGAACTTCTATCTGTATGCTAATGGAGAACAAGCGATTCTTTGACATTTGAACTTTAGCAATCAATTCTTGAAATTAATTTTTGACTGTAAGAGAATGATCTCTCATACGAATATCATTCCATTTTTCAAGAATCTGACCAAGCCTAATGATATTCGTTTTCAAAGAAGGTACATAATAAACATCAAGCATATACTTCTTATCACCATTCCTTGAGGGAATCATAATTGTACCTTTACCTTTGATGAGAATCTTTGATAAATCACCAAAGCTAATGTCTCCATTGACTGCCACGTCCAACTTCATAAATAGATCCTTATAACCACACATGTGGTTACTTGTACCAGTATCAAAATACAAAATATTTTTCTTTCCGTCTTCATCTCCTTTGTATGTGAGAAATACAGTAGGTCCAACATCTTTATATTTATCTTTAGTTGTTGTTGTAAAGTGACTTCTTTCATCTACTTTTAGATATTTGCTTTCGTAACTAAAGTGACCATAATTATTGCAGTTATAACATTGAACCTGAGATATGTCACTTTGTTGTTGAAACTTACCTCTTCCTCTTCCTCTGCTTTGAAATCCTCGACCATGACCAGAGAGCTGATATCTTTCAGTAGGTTAATATCTTTATTTTTCTTGTGTTGGGTCTAAAATATGGTTTATATTTTGCTTTTCTAGGCAATTGGGTTTTCGGTCCATATGGTTGGGAGTGTTTACAACTTAGATGGTGTTTACAGCCGTGAACCTATTTGCGGTTGTCTATCTCATATAAATAGTGTTAGTGGAGTCGTAAGGGTGTACAACTAGAAAGGAGCTTAAGTGTGTGTACTCTAAGGTGTTCTACATATACAAAGTAGAGAAAGTGCAAGTGTGTGTGTGAATCTCATGTATTGATCATCATTCATATTATTAAATACATTGAAGATTCATCTTATTCTTCTTCTCATTCTTCTCGATTTTGATCTTCCATCATCCAATTGACTGGGATTCCGCACCATCAATTGGATCTGATTAATATGTCAAGCAAATTTGGGACTTACATTTGGTATCAGAGCTTGGATTGTATCAATCAAATTGGCAAGATCTGGAGTGTTTTTGCACTATTTCTTGAAGGATTTTGCGTTTTTGGATAGTTTTTTGAAAAATATTGGGGGTTTGTTCATTGAGTTTTTCATAAAAACGAGTTTTGGATCCAAAATGGGTGAAAAACGTTGTTTTTTCGTGATCCGAAGAATGGTTCACCGCTTATCGGAAGGCTTCACAGCCGATCAGAAGATTAGTTCTCGGCCGAACCAAAGAAGCGTTCATGGCCTAACAGCGTTTCCAGCTTCTGACGTTCTCGGTCGCACATCTCGCACTTGTTCGGTTCTTGGATAGTTCTCGGCCAGCAAGCTCCAGCATGTGATCGGTCTTCACACGCATTGTCGTCGCCTTCAGTATTTATTCAAAAAAAAATTGGGGTGGCCAAGAATTGAACCAAGGTCCCCTACCTTCTAAGTCCACCGCGTTACCAGTTGGCTAGGTTGCATCATGTTACTCTCCTTCCCAATATAATTCAAAAGGACTCCCTGTTTCGCTTCCTAGATTTGCATTTTTGACAAATTTTGCCCAAAAATTCAATTTTACAAATTTTAAAATTTCATTTTCAACCTAAAAGTTTTGGTTTTTAATTTTTGACTTTTGACCTTAAAAAATGACTTTGACTTTCAAGTTTGAGCTTTGACTTTAAATGTTGACTTTCTCGTTTAACTTTCAAATTTTCAAATTTAGCTTTTCGTTTTGACTTTTAAGGTTGAATTTTTAAATTTGACTTTTAAGGTTGGCTTTTAGGTTTTTAGTCAAAGGGCATTTTTGGTAAACAAGGAGTTCCTCAAACATCCCGGTCAATGAAGTTTCGTGTTCTAAATCTTATGAAGCTACAATTAAATTTCTTCGTGAACAAATTGATTTGCTAAAAAGGGAAAATGAGGACATTAAATATGAAGGATATACTCTTAGGAAAGGTCAAAACCTCTTAAATGAACAACTAGACCTTAAAACAAAGGACTTCCGAAAACTTCAAGAAGAATATAGCCACAAATGGGCGAATTATAAATATGTTAAGGAACAGCTTGCTAACCTGACTACCAAACTTGATGCATTAAAAGCAAAATATAATAATGCTGAATTTAACTTTAAGAAATTTGATGTGTCAAGTGGGGTAGTTGCTTCCATGATAGAAAAACAACTAAAATTCAAAGATAATCAAAACAAGGGTGTAGGGTATAATAGTGTTCCTCCTCCCTTTAATGAGAACTATAACCCACCCTTTAAAACCAATGACGAAGAAATGCCGGCTCAGTATGGCCAAACCCCTATCCCAGCTTCAGTTAATACATAACCATATGGGGCCTATTGAGGTTATTCTGGTGAACGTTTCTGATGCTTCTACTTCATATGTAGGAAAAGTGGTAGAATATGACACTACTAGAAAAACAGCCTTTTACGACGCTCATTGTGCGTCATAAAAGGCTCAGACGACGCGCAAATGCGCGTCAAGGAAGGCCATGTCATAAAGAGAGACGACGCACATTTATGATGCTCATTTACGGCGCGCAATTACGATGCGCGTTTACGACATGCAATGCATATCAAGGAAGGCCTTGTCATAAAGGAAGACGACACACATTCGCGTGTCGTAACCTTACGATGCGCGTGTTAATGACACACAATGCGTATCAAGAAAACCCATGTCAAGAAAGGCCATGTCATAAATGAAGATGACACACATTTTTGCGTATCATAATTTTAAATATTTAAAAAAAATATTCTTTATAGATTTACTTATTTTCAAATTAAATTTGTATTTAATGTTTCATAATAGAAAATAAAATATTATATACAAAAAATAGAATCCATTGCATAAATTTAATGTCATACAATTCTATTTCTTATAATATATAAATTTGCATCTAATCTACTATGTACATCAAATTCCAACTAAGTAGTTGCATCTTTCCTTTCATAATTCTTTAAGACTAATGCTCCAAACAGCTGATTATATGGATAAGCAGTTGTACATTGGCCCATCTCACTCAATAATGACTTAGCCAAATTCAACTCCAAGTCTTTACTGCATCTTGCTGATAATGCTGCAAGATTTAAATCAAGTGGCTTCATATTCCTTTCTTCCATCAACTTTACCTGATGTACAAAATACACAGAAACAAAAAAAACATTGTAGAGGAAGGGGTAATTTGGGAAAATGTGAGGGGTGTAATAGAATAAGAATGCAAATACTTAATACCAATTTCATGCCATGATGGAAACCTATTGTCACTACTAGAAAGTAGAAATGTTTCATGTAGAGTTAGTTGTTCCGCTTCACCTTAGTTACTAAAGAGCATATGGAGACTGATATTCTCTGAATCACATCAACAGCTGCTCCAAACCTGGTATTCTCTGCATCACATCAACATCTGGCTGTAAAATCAATGAGCGTAACAAATAACTTTTTACAATTTTACTTTTGAAGATCATTAAGATTTGAAGATCATACCTTTGCACCACATAAAACTAGAAGATGGAGAGAGCTAGACTCCATATCCTTAACAGCCCCACCTAAGGAGATGGAGTGATCCTTTTCATTTTGATCACATTCATCCAAATATGGAATCTCCATTTGTCAAAAACATACAATCAGAATTAAGAACAATATTTTATATTAAAAATAAGGGAAAATCAATAGCAAAATGAAAGTGAAAATGAAGTGAATTGACATTCTAACTTGTTTCTTGAGGATAGAGTGCAACTTCATCTCCTGATTCAGCTATTGTATCTGTAATCTTTTGGATATGACTGAATGCCACATCTTTGAGATGGTCACCCATGCGTGTTTGAAAGAAATGGTAATTATTACAAAAAAACAAGCTTTCTTATATAAAAAAAATATGGGTATGGAAAGGTCAAAGGTCTGAAGTCTAAATTAAAGAATTTATAAAGAAAGAAAGAGAGGGAACCTTGAATCATGTGAGAAGGCTAGCGTTGTAACAAGGCCAAGATGTGGTTTCTTCACTACACGATGCATCTTCATATTACTAGAATTCAATATAAATATGTCCCATTGGATCGTACCTTTGCAATTAATGCATCAATGTTTGTCATTCATATAAAAACTACTATAGATTCTTCATCTGAGAATTGAGATGTTTTATTTTGAAACATATCCATTTGACCAGAAGTAGATTTATACACATGCTAAGTGATAACATGAAGTTTAAGAAAAGCAAATGGAGTCTTACATTGCAAGAAACCTCCCATCATCTTATACGCTTCCATGTACTAGTGTTCCACTTGAAAATACTTCCTCCCCGATCTACCCATGATAAAAAATGTTCAAACAAATTAGTTCACTATTCCAAACAATATTGCATTAAAAACATCAGTCAATGTTTACATAATCAAAACAAAAAAGAACAGAAAATGAAAAATAGCAATTCCATTGATTCCCAAGAAACTCGTTCACAACAATTCCATTCATGGTGTACATCATAGGAGATAACCAGTATCCCCACAACCACCATTTCTTTACGTCCTCTTTGAAAACAAAAAGAAAGTTTTAGTTGACAGTAAAAATGGATCAATAGTCATGTTTCAGTATGCTTCTAAACAATTAGTACCTCGAACAAGAACAAAGCCACCCAAAGCAAAGACTAAGAGAAGTGCAAATGAACCAAACGTGTTTGCAACAATCATATTTCAACCCAATGAACCGAAACAATTCTGAAGACATTTGGTTAACAAGCGAAAGCATAAGATATTGCTTGAAGAATCTGTAAAACAAGAAATATCCGTTGAATAAACATATGCAAATAAATTTTTTTTTTGAGACTTTCAATCTGTGATTTTGTAATGTAATATAATTAATTACCTTGTAATATTATAATTGAAACCAACTACGTAATAAGTGAGAATCACCCAAACAACAAATTCAAGAAACGAAACTGGAATCTTGAGAATCACCCAAACAACGGCTTCAAGAAACGAAACAAAACAGGTGAAGACAGAAACATATATTCATATGATCTTCCATCTCCAGTGGCTCCAGTGCTCCACTCACCGGTTGTACCACAAATCCTTGAAAGGCTCTCCCAAGTCCATGAGCAAGTCCAAGAATACCATTCGGTCTGGCACTTTCAACAGGTTTCCTCACTACACCAGACACCCCAAAAGCAAAACCTTGTGCAAGAGATTCTATCCCTTGTAAGAATCCGTCCCTACCCCTGTTATTCTTCTTGACCATACCTGGGAACGTAATTTATTACTTAGGTATGGTGTAGTGTGGTTTGACTTCTACTGTAATGTGCTTGACTAGGGAAAAAAAAGCTAAACCTGTTTTGAGCGCAGTTGTAGAAACTGTCCATCTGTGGAGAGCTCAGCAAATCCTTTACTTAGAGATGCCAAAGTGGAGCTTGTCATACCCAACACATCCACAGAGAAAATTAAATTTAGAGGATTAAATATTGGAACTAGCTTCCATATATATAAATATAATATAATTTATATGACAACAAGGGACTCACTGATTACATTTGGTGTCAAAACCTTTAGGTGCATCAGATAAGGAGCACCATTTCCATTTCCATCTCTGATTCCAATGACTTTTACACATAGTGGTGCCAATTTTCATCGTCCATGAAAAAACAATAAATTCAATATACTTTTTTTACTTAAAAAAAATTAAAATTAAGTTAATACCTTCTAGAGACTTAAAACATCTGTTGTTAGCTTTGTAGCAGCATACCATGCTCTTTTGTTAACAACTTGACAAATTTCTGTTCTAAGTAAAGGCCGAACCAAATGTTTTTTCACTAAAGATGTTCACATCAAGATTCTAGCAAACCCTGGAACAACTTATCTTGATAAGCTTGTTGTTAGTAACACCACACCCTTTATCTCCATCTGAAAATAAATAAAATATTAATTGAGAAAATAAAAAAAATAAAAATTGGTTATAACTTATTACTTATATCAATAAGGTTCCCGGATGCCTTCACTCTTTGTGTAGCCTTTAAAGCAAGAAGACCCCCATCATCATGACCAACAAGAACAACAGAAGAAAGCCCCATTTCTTTACAAAATGTTAGAAGCATATCAACCTAAAATAATATTAAACTGATCAATAAAGAATAAAATGGTATTTTACTATTTTACTATTTTATAATTTAAACAAACTAACATGTAGAAAAAATACCCTCAGAATCTCCATCTACAATTCCATGGCAGAGAGAAGCACTCACTATGTTTCATCGTCGATGATCATACACAGTTGAGTTCAGATGAAAAGCAGGCTCACCTATAGTTTGCCCATCCATCCAGAACGACTACACAAAACAATACACATGTTTCAGAAGGCAACATATGGGTATTTTGGTCTTTTTAACAAAGTGATGATATTGAATTTATACCAGTGTAGAAGGTTTATCTAGACCAACACATTAATTAATCATTGGAATACAATTAATTTTTTATAACTAAGAGCAATATTATTATTATTATATAATATAAGACAATGCCTTTACGACTGAAGAAAAATCATCATCCAAGATAATGATGTCACTGCTTTCTTTTGCAACTTCAGTTCCTTGGATGCCCATAACAACACCAACATCAGCCTACAGTTTCAATTTCAAAATAAAAAACATATAAATAAAATACAGTAAAAATAATTACATTGATCATAAAAAAAATCTTTAATTATTACCTCATCCAATATAATGAAGACAGCTCCCTTATGCTTAACGTCAAAAAGACTAAAAATCTACACACATATACATATATGAAACTTTTTAAACCTTAATGCCATATGCAAATTAATTTCACTTATATTTGGTTCATCTGTTTAGTGAAATTATTTGCATAAATCACTCAATTTTGTAAATTGGCCCATGGAAATGAAAATAAATTGGAGGAACAACAACAACATACATACCCTATTTGCAAACAGATTCTTTTTCCTTTTGTTCTTGAACAAAGCTAGTAGAAATTCTACCTGCATATATAATAGTATTGAACATAATTAAACATGTGATATTGAGATACATATTTAATTATTTATCTACATAATTACGATTTTTAAATAGAAATTCTGACATAAACTACCTTGCTAAAGAATAGAAAAAGCAAGAGTCCACCATGAAATAACAACAGCCCATTCAACAACAAGGATGATGCATGATTACAAGCATCGCAAGGATTTACTGTTGTATCAAAAAATGGAATTAAATTTTTATTTTTATTTATTTCAATGTTCATATAATTAGGAATTAAAAAATGTTATTTATATAAACAAATTTTTTGTTAATTGTGAATATATATCAGAATTTTTGTTTTTATCTATTTTAATATTATATAACAAGGGTATTTTATTCTTTTTAACGAAAAATAAATAAAAAACGGAATTGAATTCCTTCCACCCTCCTAATGAAATCCAGCAAACATAGTAATTCTAGGACTCCAACGGAATTGAATTGCCTCTATTTAGCAACCAAACATGCCATGGAATGGAATCTCATATACCAATTCCATCAATTCCCTTGGTTTTTAGTTAAAGAGCAATCTATTACCTTGGCAATGTCAAGTTTACCAAGCTGAATAACCAACTCAAATCTATAATCAGGGTCTGTAGCAACTTCCAAGGCCTATTCAACCTTTCCCCATGACCCCTGAAAATGAGCAACACTATTGAAGAAAACAACCAGAATTCGTTTATAAAAAATATAATATATATTTAAGATACAAATTTTTGTAATAACAATATAATATAAACTCTACCTATTATAATGCTCCTTTCGGATTCAGGGTAAAACTCCATTAGCTCATTCTATGTCTCCACGCATCACAAGTGTCTTGTACTCGATTAACGTTAGGAGCAAAGTGTAACCAATGACACTAAAACATAAAAAATTAAAGAAAAAAAATTAGCATAAATGTTGATGATAATTGTTTATTTAAAGATTATTATACCCACTCACTTGAATTCTTTGTTAATGAGATAAACCCTGCTTTGGTTAGCAAGAAACCCAAGAAGATACATAGGTTGATCCAAATGGAACATTGTGTTAACCTGAAACAAATGTCACATTAAATATTATCAAGAATCATGATCTCACCCTTCACACCAATCAAAATATCAAACCCAAACGAAAAACAAAACCAATTAGTCATCTAGATCAGGATAATTAATATTTATATTTATATAGTTTGATATAATGGCATCAAAAAGTTACAGGGGTGGAATACTATTAAAACCAGAAGACATACCAGTAGAATTAATATATCCTAAAGTGGACATACATGGTGATCACTAACTATTTTCATACCATGAAACAAAGCCTTCATCAACGACTCCAAAAACAGGGTCGCTCATAGAACCCAAATGCTGACAAACGGATGAGTGATAGACAACATCCTCAGACGCTGAACTTTCAACACACTTGTATAAAATTGATTTCTTTCACAGATAAGGTCATTCATTTTCAAAAGACCCTCTATCTATATTCAACACATTATTAAAAAAGCAAGGTTTTAACCAATGCTGGATTATATAGCTCTACTTGGGTGACCTATGTTGGAATAATCCAAAAGTTTAGAAGAATTTATCTAGTTTATTTTTTGAACTTCTAGTCATTATCCTTTCTTCCTGCATTTTAGAGATAAACCCATCTAGTTAGTTTGCTTTGTTTCTTTCAAGTATAAGTAGGAACGTTATTTATGATGTTACAGTGAGTTTTTTCAGTTCAATAAAAATCCCAGCACAAAGTTGGACAAAAATACCCCTCAATTGCTTCTTCTTGTTCTCTGTTCCACTGTTCTTACTTCTTGCTATTAGATTTAAGCAGCCACCTTCCCTCTACCATCTTCAGATGCAACCACATCACTCAGTGGAGGCCATGAATCAAACTTTGATCCGAAAGAAACTGTCTCAAAATTCTCAATCATTCGAATGATATTGGATTTTGGTCTTTCATGAATACGTAAATGTTCCTGTAAATCAATGCGTTATTTATTATAATAAGAACCTTGGAAATTTATATTTATATTTATATAGTTTGATATAATGTTTACTTCTGCAGCTCCATTTGCAACTTTTCTTTCTTCAAGATTAGTATTTCTTCCAACCCACACATAAATTTATGTTCCACAATCTAGAAGACAACAATGGTGTGTGTCTAGTAACTTCTTTGTCAATGAATCAGCAGCTACAGGTATTGCTTTCCCTTTATGATTCTTAAAACAAGAAAAAAAAATTAGAATTTTGTTAATTGTTGAATCAAGAGATAGAATAGTAATAGAATAATATAATAAAATATTACCAAAGTAGCTGAGTAGGATAAGCATGAGTACTTTGAGCATCATTTGTAGCTGTTTTCTTTGGAAGTGGAGCAAATCCACCAAAGAAACCCCAGAATTTTCCAGCTTCAACATCATCCATTAATCTCCCATCATCTACTCAAATCAAACATATACAAGTAGAAATGAGATTGCAAGGGCTTTTCTGTAATTTTCCATTTTTATAACATAATGCGCACAAAATCACATACCAATGGTAGCTATGTCACACTTGTTACTATGGTAGGTGGTTTTGATATAAGTAGCATTTTTTTTATGAACACATCTGGTGGAGCAATCTCCAATTGCAAAATTGTTTCAATCGCTAGCGATCTTGAATTGCATTTTTGGGAACTAATCTAGAAATAATGTTTCAAGTGATGCACCCTGCAATTAGTGAGTAGCGTTTCATCTTCCTCGGCAAGCCATGGTGGCTTGTAGAATTGACAAACTACAAAACCAATAATTAGGAAACACAAAAAAATTACTGAACGAGAAAATTATAGAACCAGAAATTGAAAAAACCCTAACCCTTTTATTTCAATTTCTTGGCCCTATGAGCGGACGAAAATCATCGATCGACTAGCAAGCGATCCTTGTAGGCGCCATGGACCTCTCGACAGACAGCGTCGATGTCATCTTGTTAATCAGCTTCTGCATCGTGATTGACTTGCAAGCGAACTGTTGGTGTGTGGTTTTATGAGTGACAAGATGCGTCACACCAAATTGACTTGCGGGAACATCATCCATTGGTCGCCCAAGGATGGGGTTGGAAAGCTGCAAACGGTGATGGTGGATGAAGTGTTGGTCGATAAGGCCCGTACATCATCGTCGTGCGAGGCCTGATGATTCAGTGTCGATTGGAGGTAGTGTTGGTCGAAGAGGATTTTAAGAACTTCAAAAATATGAAATTATCGATCATCAACACACCAAGTAGCAATTCAGAAAAATCGCATATTGAAGTCAAAAATATGATTTCAGGAACTTCACAACTAAAAATCGTATATCTGGAACCGACACAATGATTTTAGGGTTTCTTTTAATCAAAGAGGATTTCACAACATACGAAGAAGATGGAGGAGAGTATCAGGCAGGGTTTTCAATATTTTGGTATTTGATTTCCTCATTGGCAATTAAAAAATTGAAGAACGCGCGTTGATGAAAAAATTATAAAACGACAGTTCTACACGACGAACTTTTTTATGGTAGGTGCCCTCCGTATTTTTATTTTTTTTGTTGGACACTAGTTTTAGCGCACACATAAATGCGTGTCCTCTATGCTTCATATTTTGGAAAATTGACATCAATTTTTAGGGTCCGAACAGATGTGTGTCCTCTATCAGTGTATGTCATTGATTGTGCGTCGTAAAAAGTTGTTTTTCTAGTAGTGTGACAACAAGGAGAGTACTATTGAACAAACACATGATTCCTTGAACTCTAAATCTATTGCTTTTAATCAACCTGCTATTGTTAAATATATGCCACTAATTCAAGCTAAACAGAGTGACTATTGCAGGTGTGCTTGTGGGAGCAATCAGAGACAAGGCAAGGGTATGCCACCTGGGACAGGAAGAAACAATTCTTATGTGAAGAAAAAGACATGTTTTCACTATGGACCACCTGGAGACATTGCTAGAAATTGTCCAAATCGTGCATACGTTCCCAACTATGCACAAGCCTGGTAGAACGCACAAAGAGGGGGGTTTTTCCAAAAGAAACCCTTCGAGGCCACGTTCGAACAATGGTGACTGGAACATGCAGAAGGCCATGAATCCAACTTCCAAGAACAAGAAGGGAATTCCAGCCAAGAAGACAAATCAAAGAGATGCTTCGGTGAAGCCAAGACCGGTTAGGTTAAAGCCATCTCGATAGCCGACTTCAAGTTCAAAAGCAAGTAACGAGGTACCCATCCTCTCAAATAAGAAATGGGTTAAACTCAACTACAGATGGGTACCAAAGGTTCAATCTCCCAAACCTTTTAATGATTCTAATATTTCTACATCTTCTGTTGGTGATAACCAGGATATGTCATGGGAGAGAGTACCTTGAAAGGATGACAAAGGTCGAGCCAGTTTCAAAATGGATTGGGTTCCAAGGACCAATTGATCCTGCTATATGCTCGAGCAGCTATGGATGCATATCATCAGACATCGGTTTGTTGATAGTGGTTGTTCCTGGCACATGATAGGGAACATATCTCAATTGTACAACACTCAGAACTTAGTTTGAGTGTATGTGTCCTTTGCAGGAAAATGGAAGAAAGGAAAGGATCACACATGGGGTTTTGTGCTTAACGATGTGAAGAATTTTTGGATCTGTTCTGAGATAGAAATTTGTGTGTTGTTCTCAGACCTTCTGGATGCAAATTCAATCGGTGACTTACGGTTTGAGTTTTCTTCTCGACTCTCCTGATTTTTTATTGCATTGATTCATTTTAAAGATAATATTTTATTTTCTTATAGTTTTTCGTTAGTGGGTATTGTTTGGGAAGTGATATGAAGTGTAGTGCTAAAGGGAAATTTATGATGCGTGTAATGCACTTAAGCCGAATTGTCTAGGCTTTGTGTTCAATGTGCTGGTAGGCACAAAGGATTTAAATGGACTAGACTAGGCATAGATGGACTGTGAAAAGACTTGACAAATATAAACATAGATAGTTTCATTTGGACTGACCATACGACGCTCAGGTAGATTGAGCAGTGAGATCAACATGGGAACCTGCGAGATACACTAAAAGTTAATTATCTATAACTATGGCTCAACATTTCCTTGTTGTATGGACTCATGTCCTTAATTTTGGAACTGATAGGGCGACTGGAGGCTTCTGATAAAGTAGTTCTGTAGAAAATTATTTTCTTTCTTTCTATCTGTTAGTTATATGTTGCCTCTTCTGCGTGACTGGAACATATCCGACCTGGACTGCAACATATGTAACTCCATCTCTATGCATCCTCTTCTATACACAATTCTTTCTATCTATTAGCCATATGCTGTCCCCTCTGTGTGATCGAAAGATCCGACCTAGGACACAACATATGCACCCTACTACCTCTCTAACCCTCTATCTATGTTATTCATATGTTGTTCCTTCTACGTGATTAGAAAACATCCGACCTGGGATATAACATATGCATTTCTATATCTGTCCTCTTTCTTAATGATTGAATACTCACCTAAAGTAAGAAGTTCTTTGGAAGTTCTTGATTACTGGGGTATGTCGGGAAGTGGGAAACACTTTCTAGTACACCTAAAATTGAACATTAAAAAGGTTGTCTGTAGATCTTGCTACTAAATTTAGGTGGACATCAATATCCGTGGTTGTCGTCAGCTGAATGTTCTTCTAGGAATATTATCTAAGATCATAGGGTCAAATACCTTGTCACTTGTAGTATGTCCTAAATTATCACAATTTTTCGTGTTTATGTAGACCACAATACCAACGATTGACTAGATCTACTCATGAAGGTGGAGGTGCGGAAACACAGATTAAAGTTGTTCCAGAACTTTAATCCCAAAAATCACAAAAAGATTTTCTACATAGGTGAAAAGAATCTAGTGCTATGTTATTTTTATTTTTATTTTATTTTATTTTTGTTTTTTCTAAAAAATTGAAAAAGTAAAAAATTTAGTCAAAATTCGTTTAGTTTAAATTTTTTAGATTTTATTTTATTTTAATTTTTTTAAATGTCCTCAAAGTGTTTTATTTTTAATTAAATATTGGATGTATTGGGTTGGATTTGCAGCCCATGGGTATTGGATCGAGTTTGGTCCAGGTATATATAGTAGCTTTCACAGTCGTTTACCCTTTCTCGCTCATTTGTTGATCACGGCCATGAACCGTTATCAGATTCTTTCTCTATAGTTTTTCTCAATTCATCATCTCATCTTGTTTTTCAACCGAAATTGCTTGCTGCATCTTGTAGGTACACCCAAGGCGACTCCATTCATGCTAAAATTAACAGCGATCTACCGTGGTTAGTGGGTGTATTAAAGGAAAATCGATTTTCGGCAATTGATGAACTGTTCACGGTCGTTGAAGCCTTCACGGCCAATGAAGCGTTCACGGATGTGAACTAGTGTGTAGTCGTGAACCCTAGTTTGGACATAAACTTGATTTTTTCCTTTCTTTGATTCAATCAAATTTAAAGCCTAACTAATTGACAAATGAGAAAACTTGTTTTTCATGTTTTAAATTTCTTGTTTTCTCACTTGGCTCAGTTAGTGCAGGTCAGCAATGGCTAATATGACGTTTGCTAACATCCATAACCTTTCTCATCTTTATGGTTGATCCACCAGTTGCACATAGTGACTTTAAGTCCATGGTGCATGGACTGAAGAGATGCTGCCTCGCTTTTTCCCTATCATCAAGTCTAGTCATTTACCCTGGATTGATAAAGCAGTTCTGGAGCAAAGCTGTTGTGCTCAGAGGAGAAGATGATGAAGTCTCCATAGAATCAAACGTCAATGGAAATAAGTGATGGGATTTTATACAAAAAGTCCTATGTGTGCATGCAACCCTAATTGGATTTATGTTTTCATTATTAGACATACAACTTTATGAACACAAAAAAGAAACCAAGCATGCTCCTACTATTTTCGAAATTCACATAGGAGAATAGAATACATACCTTTTGATGCAATGTAGTAATAACAACTAGTTCCTTGAATTTCCTTTGCTCTTGAAAGCAAGTACCAAAAGTGTAGTACCTCTAATTGCTTACAAACACCAAGAGCAAGAGGATAACTTGGGAGAAGAGAATGAGGTTGTAACATCCCAAAAATCGAGGCCAAAAATTTCATTTTTAATTAAGTAATTCATAACATAGTTTACCAAACATTGCCAATGTCACATCCATTTATAAAAAACATAACAACATTTCCGAAAACCATATCATCGAAGTAATAAAAATCAGAGTACAATCCTAGAAAACTTCATGCAGAAATCATGTGAGTGTGTGCGATGCGCTGCTACACCGCCGGCTCCTTCCCTTTGGACGAAGAGGTACCTGAAACCAAAACTAAAATTGTAAGCACAAAGCTTAGTGAGTTCCCCCATCATACAAACACCATACAATAACAAAGCATACATACTATCGGGAAATTCTTGGGTGCCCGACCTACCCTGTACGGCCATTCTGGGGTGCCGACCTACCCGTGTAAAGCCATTCTGGGGTGCTGACCTACCCGTGTCAAGCCATTCTGAGTTGCTGACCTACCCGTGTCAAGCCATTCGGGGGGTGCTGACCTACCCATCGGTCCTAATAACCGAACCTCGGGGACAATTCCACCCCCTACTTCTACTATCACATATATCATAATAGAAACATACTATCAGACATATATGGGGTGTCCGACCTACCCTTTGGTCCTAACAACCAAACTCTACTGATATCACATAACATATCATGCTAGCATATAACATATCAGGTAGTAGCAAACCTAGATGAATATAACAAAGACAATCATCTAACATACAACTCCGACTGGTGGGCCGACATTATGGTCGTAGGCCCCTGCTACTGGAAGGTAACTCACCTCGATGTTCTGTAGCGTCTGAACTGTCATCGGCATGAAGGTCGGCTGCCTTCGACTCCTCAATCCCTACACGACAATCCTTAAGTCAAGAAACAGAACATATGACCCAAACCAGGGTCAATATCTTAACTAGTCAAGGTCATCCTTGGTCAAAGTCAACATCCAGTTGACCTGACTTGCCGAGTTGGCCTGCCAACTCGCCGAGTCCATACTCC